AACAGAAATGAAAAAAGTGATTGTGAATTTGGCCATGGGAGCTCAAACTTCAAGCCTGTTTGAAAGTACATGAAACACATTATATATTGGCGGTAATTTTATCATCCGCGACCGAATATTTTATTTTAAAATCAATTTCTTGTGAGCAATGTATTCGACATTACAAGAACCACATAAATTTGCTGAAAAAATGTCCGATTTCCATGACTCAAATGCAGACATGTAGAACTGACGACACTCTTCCCTAATTACCGCTATGCGCATGTTCACCGACCTTGGACGTCAACTGCACAAAACAAAAATGATCGTTACACTTCACGAAGGCAAACACTGCTGAATAACCAGTGTGATGCATTCGGCAAAAGTCATCGACATGAAAGGCGGGTAAACACAAAAGAATAATCAGTTGAAAACAAAAGACTCGAGTGGGATTAAAACCAGTTCAGTCTCTTTCTCTTTTAGCTCCATGGACCAACTCAACCCATTATTTTTGCTGTTCTTGCAAGAGTTAGGATATAAACAATGACGGCTTGAGAGTCTGCAACAAGTAATCTAATTCATTGTAGGCAATCATGAAAAAGTAAACTGTGTGACAGTTGTCCATGTATCAGTCGTCTGAATTAATCGTCACTGCTGCTTGACTATCACAGTATAGAACTACAGGTTTTTAGTTCTGGTTCTGACGCAGTTCTAGTGCCATATCGTTGCCATGCTTTGACTGATTATGTTCAAATTTGATATATTCATTATACATCATGACATAGATATATTGGTTTGACTATCTGATTCAAAATAGACAAATGGTGGCCTTTTTTGTGCTAAAAAATCATCAAAAATCAAGCATTTGTGGCATTTATGGATTGATTTTGTTCAAACTTGGTACATACATTAGACATTATGTGTTCCTGATGCATGTCATTATATTTTACTGATCAGATTCAAAATGGCTGACTGACTGCCATTTTGTTTCAATGAATGCGCTTCTAGAGCCATATCTCTGACATGCTTTGACTGATTATGTTCAAATTCTGTATATTCATTATACATTATGTTATATATATATATATAGATGTATTCAAAAAGGCCGATTTTGTTTTAATTAATGCTGTTCCAGAGCAATATCACACAATATGAACGAGTACTCGTTTAACGATCAGATGTCAATCATTTTAATGTTAAAAAAATCATAATCACATTCCTGACATGTTTATATTCCAGCTATATTACTATAAACAAAACTATATATCTTAAATTTGATAACTAACGGGGACTGTGCCATGCATGGCTTTTTTTTTTTTAACAATGTTTGATGATGAAAATAGAAACAGTCTGAACAAAATATACATGTATATGTACACATGTATAAAAATTAAACAGATATTAGCAGATTACAGGTTAACTCAAACAAAAATGAAAATCTAGCCATTAGATTAATTTATTGTGAAACAGAATGGATGTGGCAAACTTAGGACTTCTTGCTTGACCTTTTTTATTCAAAGACTGACCACCCACTGCTGTTAGCACTGTAACGATTTCGCATTCAAGTTGCAAACAGGATTAGTACATTCTGGGTGTTTCTGTATCGAGTGTGGTAAGCGATAACAAGCATGACTAATTGGCTGCGAGTGTTTGTAATTAATACATGTTTTAAATTTTCTCTCTGTGGTACGTTTTCACTTTATCGTTTATGTTTATGCCAAATTTTCTGTAACATTTCATAGTTGCTGGTATTTTTTTTTTTTTTACAGTCATGCACAGAAATATACACGATCTCATATATATTATCTTGAATGTTTTTATTTTCTCAATAGTCAGTAAAAAGCGTGATAAAAATCACAAAGTCTCAGCCAGTAAAATTGTAATTTACATATGTAATTGCTAGCCTGCAACATTATGAATCTGTGGTGCAATTCTTAGGTCAATTGTGTGATGAAGAGTGTTAAAAATAGTTTTCAATAGTCGTGATAGTAACAATGAATACGATAGCGAAATTGACCGTCAGGTAATCTTTTGGACAAACATTTTGCCTATATCTGAGCTTTCAGATGATATATAGGTTGTTATAGTAGCACGCTTAATAACTTTTAAAGAAGGTCTAAATCACAGATTATTTTTAACTTGTTTTGCTCCTGTTGTTCTCTTAAGGTAGCGAGAAGGGAAATTTTCACTTTTTTCTTGATTTTTCAAAAATTGATAAAACGGTTACTTTAGACCTTGATACATCACCCCAGGTTTACAAAAGATCGAAATTGCGAAATAACGTTGCTCAAATTAGTGTTTTAAAACACTAGCAGAAAAGACTACAACTGCCGTTTCATGGATATTTGCATAGTGTTTATCTTTGGAAGGAATTAAATGATAAAATCTTATCTGTATACTCTGTTGTTGCTTCCAGTTGCAAACAATGCGTGTTTATCTAACGTCCATTTCAGCAT